ATTCAAGCCAGGTCGGACGTGAAGGTAAGCACGTGTTCGCATGTGCCTGTGCGCCCCACTCTCTCGGCTAGTGCTGTCCGGCCTCGCGCGCGGACTGCGCCCGCTCCACCGTCCGCCTCCTCTTTATCGGCCAGCGGGGCGTCACGCGCATGGGCGCGCACGCCCCTGGGGCCATGCACGCGTTCGTGTTGAAGAGACACTTTCAGCTGAGGTTTATCGGCCTGCCCTCACTAAGGCGCGGAGCGTGCTTGCGCGGCAAGTGGGGCACGAACTGCGCGATTTCTACGATGTAGGAGAGAAGGTGCACATGTATGTTGGGCGCACCCGAGGATTGAAGACCAAGCGGGCTTCCAATTCGGCCCCGAAGAGCCCCAAGTTCCCGAGCGCGTCGCAGGACGTGGCCCCGAGGAAGGCCAAGAAGGACCTAGAGGCTAGGCAGCGTTCTTTTCGTGCGTGGGTTACTCAGCAGGCGGGCGCCGGGGCGGGGGCCCTGCGCGCGCTCGCGAAGGCCCCCGCTGCTCGGCATTAGAACACCACGGGGGCCCCGCACAGGCCCCGAGATATGCAGGGGGAGGCTGGCGAACTTCAGAGGAGTGGAGCAGGTGGTGGAGAGTGGGTCAGTGGCATCGCGGCCTCGCCTGGCCCGACGATCTTGGGGGCCGTCCTGAGAGGCCCGCGGTGGCCCGCCTACGCAAGGTCCCGCGCGCCTTCCCGAAGCAGCCTGGGGGTGCCTTTCTGCATCTTACGCCCTCGCCAACCGGGCAGCCTGTGCGATGGGGCGCTCGAAGTTGTCTCTCGATGAGCTGACGGCGGTGGAGGCCGCAGCCGCGTGGCCAGTCCCCTCCGCGGAGACCGCCTTCCTCGCGAGGAGGCTGGGCGACGCGCGGCCGATAGCCCTCGCCCATGTTTTAGCTCGCGTTCAGGCGCGTTTGCGCCGACCGATCGCTCAGGAGTGGGGCGTCGCAACGATCGGCCGTGCTTCTGGGCTTCCAAGGGCCGATCGTGCGATCGAGCGGTCTGGCAGCAGACTGCTTGGTCCGAGTACGCGGGTACTAAGGCACGGAGGACTGCAAAGGGAGCATGGGCATCGGGCATGGCGTTGCTTGATTTGAGGAAAGCGTTTGAACAGGCGGGGCATCATTGGTTGATGGAGGCGGCACCGACGACGCAGTTCCCTCTCTGGCAGCTGAAATTGCAGGTCGAGCTCGACCGCGCCGAGCTTTGCTGCATGGGCCAGGTAGTCTCCGAGCCGCTAGAGGTCGAGCAGACCATCTTGCCAGGTGACGGCTGGGCCACACATTTTCTTGAAGGGTGCTGCTGCGGCCTCTCGATCAAGCGCATGGGCTGCATCGCACCGTCACTCCCACAGATGGCGTCGATGACATACTTCTGCGCCGTATTGGGGGCCAGGGGAGGGTCACCAGGGAGCCGGGCTGCGAGGTCGCTTCAGAGGGCCTTAGCTAGCATAGACATCCGCATACACACAGACAAGAGCAGGGTGCTGTGCAATGAGGGATATGTTCGACGCGTCGTCGCTCGTCGCCTACGTCGCGATCATGGGGCCCTCGCCGCCCCGCAAGAGCGGAATCTGGGCATCGATTTCTCTGGTGGGCTGCGGCTCGGACGGGCTGTGCGAAGGTCTCGGTATTCTGGAGCGCGTCAACGTCTGAGGCACATGGGCATCATTAGGACTGGCCAAAAAAGCGCTTGGCTGTCGAGAAAGTTTCTCGAGCGGGCCTTGAGGCCAGCATCTGTATTGGATGGGGCGTCACGGGATGCCCGCCCAAGGATTTGGACGCGGCCCGCAGCGCAGTTTTTGCTGCCCTGGCGGGCGCGACAGCTGGCGAGTCCAGGATTCTCACGCTTTTGTTGGAGCGTGACTCGGATCCCGTCATCCGCGCCGCACTGATGCCTGTGTTCACGCTGTGCCGCGCCATCTGGGAGGGACGGGTTCCGTCGCGCGTCGTTCGCGATGGGCTGGAGGGGGTCTGCCGGCCAGGTACTGGACACGAGTCAATGGGCCCTACAGCGCCTGCAGGCTCACGCTCGACAGGATTGGCCGGAGTTTCGTTTCCCCCTTCAAGCGGGCTTTCGCACGCTGGCGTCGAGCTGGATCTTCAGTGCGTATGTCCCCGGATAGTAGGCCAGCATCTGAAGCGCGCGGTCGCCGCGCGGCAGTGGCGCCAAGTTGCTAAGGAGGAGGAGTTTCGCCATTTGGAGGTGGGGCGGTTTGGGATGCGCTCGCACAGCTTGTCAGTTCGGGTCGGCCGCGACTCAGTCGCAGGCTTGCCACTCTCAGTCGCGAGGCCCGTGGGTGCCGACGGTCCGTCATTCTCAATGGCAGTGGCCCATGGCGAGGAAGCATGCATCCAACTATGCGGCTTCTAGTGCTTGTGTCATGTGCGGCGAACTTGGCGCGCTCTTGCATCGCCATTTCGAATATGCGCGTGAGCAAGAGATTCCGTGCCCCGATGCGTTTCAGGTTCTTCTTCAGGCGCAGGCCCGTCTGCCTGCGCGCGCTGCTCGAGCGCCCACTCCGGCCCCTCCCGCGTTCGGACTGGCGCCCGCCCGTGCAGGC